TATATATATATATATATCACTAAGACAAATTTAGTTGAAGAAGACCACAATTGTTGTAGTGATTTCCCAACAATTTGCCATCAATAACAATGGATACAAATCTATAAATCATTGATAATCTATATATTGTTCAACTAAGATATAAATCCTAAGAGCCTCTCCATGTTTGGTTTTTTTTAGGATATGTTTGGATCTAGAATCTTAATTACACTTCAAGAATAAAGTTCCAACAACTTATTAAGAAAACCAATGAAACATCAGAAGAAGCAGAATAAAAAATGCCCCTTCACATTGATTCCATGACACATACAATCAAAATACCTTCATTACAAATTTGAGGAGGCACTTCAATAGCCACATTAATTTATTTATTATGTCTTTTTAATTTCACCCGACCAATACTACACATTATAACCCTTTGGCACCCTTCAAACCTGCATCACCAGTGCTTCAAAAATTTCCATGGCAGAACTAGGCAACCCCAGAAGAACATTTATGCTCTTCCTTTCTTTACCATGTGACAAGAACAAAACAACCTCTTTCTCCGGCAAGGTGACAGGACCAGAACAAAGAGGCTCTCCCCACCCAAAATCCGTGGTGTGAAAAGACAACTTAGTCCAAGTTGTGATCAAAAGAGTGGCTGTTAGAGAAGGCCTTTCTCTTGTGACTTCAAAATAGTCAATAGCAGATCTCATATAACCATCAGTGACCATCTCAATAGCCTTACGAACCAATCCCACAGAAAAAGACAAAGGGTTCTTCAATAACTCCCCTGCCTTACACAACGAATTTGTCAACACAATAGCATTGCCGAAGTACCCTTCAGGAATTGGAGGCACGAATCTTTTCCTTCCATCAACCGCAAAGAGAAGCTTCGTTTCTTGATCATGTTGCATCCCTAGTGCTGCGGTTCGAGCCCTCCATACAAAACCTGAAAGCGCTTCGAAAGTGGAGCACTTTTTCAAAGCCCCATCTTCTGTGGCCTTTTTCTTGAGCATGTCAAGCTTGTTGGGGTCGAAGAAGAAGGACTTGTAGAGCATGTTTTCTTCTTCGTAGAGCTTTTGAGTGTTTGATACGTCTTTTATTTCGGCAAATTCGTTGTGTTGGAACTGTATTTTTGGAGGGTCACGTGCTTTGAGTATGGTTCGATCGAGAACCGGTGGAATCTTTAAGTCCAAACCTCGAGCTGTGTCGCTCCATGCATTGACAAACTCCATGGCGCAGAGTCCATCTTTCATGCAGTGGTTCATGCATAGCCCCAATGTAAATCCTCCGCATTTGAACTTTGTCACCTGGAATTAATGGAACATACATCATTTACAACCCATTTGAATACAAATTAGAAGTAATTTTAAAATTTTATTTAAGAAATTCTTAAAAATATTTCTAAACTTATATTTAAATATAATTTTAACATTTTTTAACATGAATTACTCAAAGTAACTCACTTGGGTTGAAGTTATTGCAAACATAATAATTTGTGATTAAATTAAGGGTAAAAACCACTTTATACTATAAAAGACGGTAAAAGGACAATAAATAAGTTGGTGAAAAAAAATAAAAAGTTTAAGTTAATGATAGATTTTTAATCTATTAAATAAGAATTTTTAATTAATTAAATATTAAGTAATAAATATATTTAAATAGTTAAGATTAAAAACAAATAAACATAATTTTTAAAATAAATATGTGATCATTAACTTATATCATAACTAAATGAGATAAATTTATAATTCTCATTTCTAGGAATGACAATGGGGTTCATGGGAGACGAAGATAAAAATTCACCTCATACCTATTTTATATCCATGTGGATATCTGGTAAGTAGATACTCATAAATTTTATAAATACTTATAAATATCTATAAATATTTATAGATATTTGTAAATTTAAAAAAATTGTTATAAATAACTTTAAATTTGTATTTGATATTAATTATATTAAAATATTAAAAATAAATAACTGATGCCAATTTTTGAACTTGCAATTAATTAATGTTAATTTTTTAAAATATTAAAAATAATATAAAAAATATATATAATAAAATATAAATATTTAAATAATTTTATTTAGTGGATACTTGTAAGTATGGATACTACCATACCCAATTCCACCCCATTCATAAACGAGTAGAAAAATATCTATATCCATTATATGTAAATATCTATTTAGACTATCAATTTATTACTCATAACAGATTTTGTTTACAAATATATTTGCAAATACAGATCTTTTTTGTCGTCCCTACTCTTTCTTCCTACTAAATCAAGTTAGAAATTCGTAAAACAAATACCAAAATTTATGATTTTTAATAAATTTCAACCGATAAAAAAAACTAAAGAGATAAATGATTGTAATTCCAAATCATAGGGCCTTTAAATAATTTTGTGACAAATATTAAAGTGTTTTTAATTTTCTATTTCTTGTAAGTTAAAAAACTTAAATATTATCATGTGCATATCAATTGAGACCATAAATGATACATAATTTTTCACTACCTAATAATTTTTCGGTTAAGAGAGTTATATAGAATTTCTCAATAAAAATAATTTTGTATGTCGAACTTATCATGGATACTACTAAATCATAGAATTCTAATTTTTATCATAGGACAGTAATAAAAATATTGCACCTAAAATTTGTCCATAAAAAACTAGAATGATATATATTTGTTATTGTGACAAAGTAAACGAAACCTGAACAGTCATAAGAGGCATCTCAAGAATGTTTGGAGCACCAGGGGCATTGTAAACCAGTTTGCCAAGAATATGAGGATGTGGTTTTGTCAAGTCCCCTATAACGTCTATGTCACAATTTGCTTCAGCCTCAACGAACACCGCACCTTCACCTGGGTTTTCCACTATCAGTTTCCCTTCTGAGCTTATAACCAACGTGCCCGCCATGGGGTAATACGGGACAAGAATCTTCGACAACGCATCCTTGATAACTCGCGCAGCATCCTCGTTCCCCCTCGAACCAGATTTGAAGCAATAAACCGTGCACACAGGAACAGCTATGTTCTGGTCAAGGTTTGAAAGGAAGTAGGGTCCCTTTGGTGTTTCCTCCGAAGGATGAACTCGGGTTGGTTCTCCTTGCTTTACGTTGAGTTCGGTGCTAGAGATGTTCGCATTAGCCATCGCGTAAGAATCTTCGATATATATGTAACCTAAAAGGCTAAAACGATTAATATGGCAACGCTGGTGAAATGAATATGTTAACAGAAATAATAGAGGGAAAAATCTAAATCTACATCAACTATAGATAATGTCATGGTATATAACTCACGATCATTCTCATCTTATAACTCAATTTGGTATGTTTGATTTAAAATTGAACTCGTGTTCTAAGATAATATCAAAGTGTTTGTGTGTAAGTGTAAATAAGAGTTGAAAATATTAAGTACCATGTAAGTAAGAAATATCCATAAGTCTATCTCTTTAAAGTTTGAGATTATGATGTTATTATATGAAATTCACTTGAATGATTTACTCATAAACTCTGTTAGTGTAATTTTTTTTTTATGTTTAATTATATGTGTTTTCAACATAGATCTATTAAAAAAATAATTTACCATTTGTACATACAACAAACTCAATAATACATTAAATTTAATAAATATATTAGAATAGATATATGTTGTAAACATAACAAAATTAAATATTAGAGAGTATATTAAAAATGATCACTCGTCATTTATCAACTCATTAAGGTCAATAGTATTGAGCATAGAAAAGTGTATTAAAAAAAATTACTTTAAAAATAATATCAACATAAAATATAGCTGATAAATTTCACCTTATTACAAACTAGCTAATTTTGTTGTTGATCTTTTTCTTTGTTAGTCTTAGGCTTTGTTATTAAAATGATATGAGAGCATATAAAGTTAGTAATTGACAAAGAATGTGCGAAAATTAAACAAGGTGCATATAATATGCACTAAGCTTTTAATTACCTGAATGATATTAGCACGGAAGTGTTGGGGGAGAGAAAGGAATGAGGATCTGATAGCACATTTGGGGTTGGAGAAATTATATATAGGATGAAGTGAGATGAAAGTTTTGACCATTTCGGTTCGATTAAAAAATTGTAGCAACTTGATAGGTGAAATTTAATGCATGCACACACGTTGGGATATAGTAGGTAGGAAAACCAAATTAATGTGACACTTAAACCAAGGTGTATGGCATAAAAAACGAGACATGATGGAGTTGGTTGGTGGCGTCGGCGTCCTACTATAGCACACACTCAAATATACTAGAGAAAAAACATGTACAACAAATTTTATAATTAAAGGGGAGAAAAAAATTAAAATGTAATAAATGATGGGTGACGATATAAATATAAAAAAATATTATATAAATTATTGTGTGAATTCACTTATTCCTTCCGGTCCATAATTTTTCATGTTTAAAAATTTTGCACACTTCTTAATAAACTTTTAATAATAATATATCAATTTTCAAATATCACCATTTAATATTTTTAATGGGAACAATTATGGAGTAAATAAAAATTGTTAAATAAAAATATATGTGAAAAAAGTTCATTAATATTACTTGAAATACATAAAATATTAAAAACTTGAAACAAAAAAATCTTAAAACAACAAATTAAAATTATGGACAATATAGAGTGATATATTGTTTCCAAAAAAAAAATCCCTTATTTTATAATAATATGAAGTTTATCTTGAAACATTTGTACAAGTAAATTTCTTTTTAACAAAAATAATCACAAAGTATAAGATAAAAAGAAAAAAACATGACCAAGTATTGTAAATATTCTCGTAAAAAGAGAGAGAAAGAGAAAGAAATGGACATTTATATATAGAATATGAATGTTAAAACAGACTTGCTAAAATACTTACTTGATTTATAAACTTTTCAATTCAAATTTATTAAAAACTATAACATTATAGGGAAGACTTATTAAATAAAAATAAAAACTGATAAAAAAATTATAATTTTTAATAAATTTTGATTAATAATAAAGAATATACATTATTTTTTAAAATAGAGAAATATGTTTAAATTGGGTATAATTAAGTTTGAAAATAACTTCAAATTTTTAAGTGTAGGCATATCTCTCTCTCTATATATATATATATATATGTGTGTGTGTGTGTATGTGTTCTTACCAGAATTTGCAAGTTCTTTCATGCTGGGGTGATGTTATAGTTGCTCCACAACAATGTGGGACACATACAAAGAGCAAGTTAAAAGATAGTTTAGGTTAAAAATTAGGTTAGAATAAAATGATAGTTGAAGTCCAAATGATTGACTTTATCTAAAGGCTTAGAGATAATGATGCATTATTTTAGGAGATATTACTATTGATAAGTAGTGATATTATTCTTAATAGGCTTAAATATGTTTAATCTCTCAAATTTAGAGTAAATTTATTTTTGATCCCTCAAATTTAAAATTGTTGTTTTTAGTCCCTGTAATTTCAAAAAATATTATTTTAGTTCTTATATTCAAATTTTGTTAAGAAATTTATCAAACATTATTGCATAAAATTTACCTATTGGTATTCTTGTTAATAAAAACATCACATTAAATCTAGTTAATATTGCATAACTATCTTAATTTGTCACTTTCAAATATATTATTAGTGACCTGAGGGACTAAAATAAGATTTTTAAAAATTATAGGGACTAAAAATAATAAATTTAAATTTGAGAGACTAATAACGTATTTAAACCTTCTTAATAATGTGATCCTAATTTAAGAATATATGATATACCGAGATAATATTGTGAGATATCTTGAATATATATTCTAGAGATTATGTGAAGATGTTGTAGGCTAGGTTTTAATTGCCTAAGATTTGACTTATAATATCGGGTTTAAAGGTCAGTGTGGACGAGCATGAGAGAACTAGCTCGACTTGGCTAAGTTGAAATGTACAATATTTATATTTTTATCCAACTCAAATAAAATTACCTATTTAACAAATATTTGTGGTTTATAATAATAATAATAATAATAAAGTTACATATATAATAAATTATGAAATTATTATAATTTTGATCATTAATTTTTTAATTTATGGATATAGTTACATAGAATTTATTATTTTAGAATACTTGATTTCTTTTCAACAAAAATAATGAGCTAAATTAAACTTTTGATCTTCTATTTTTAATCACTTACAATTTTAGTCCTCTTATTTTAAAATAGAGACATGTAACCCTTTAATCTTAAAAATACAAAATATTACATTTGTTAATTATTAAATTTCAATGTTTACATGTACTTAAATAATGTAAAATTTAGTGATGTAATATTTGAAGATAAAAATAAAAAAATAAAAAAATCATAAAAATAAGTACTCATCATTCATTAAAATAAATACAGATTAAAAAAATTATCTTTACATATCATGTCGCTTAACATCAGTATATATTATCCAATAACATTAAAATTATAATTATATTTACCTTTAAATTTATAGTTACACGAAAACGTTTTTGATTAATTTTTTTATCTTTATTTTTCATTGCTAGAAATGTTTTATCATGTTCCCAAATTATTTGTTTGACTTTCCAGATCATTATTATCATGAGTTCAATAATGCGTCAAAAATAAGAAATAGATATAAAATTCATAGCTAGCCAAGTTAGTTGAAGCGTATTTATCCCAAACTTTAGTTAGAAAGAGATGAAGTATGTGTCCGAAGAAAACCTTTGTTCATATTAACAAGTCATGGACTTTGTTGGTTTTAGCATATATATAATTCATTTATGCAATTGTGGTAGCAAAAGTGAAGTGATAAAACAAACATCATTAATTATTAAAGAATTAAGAAATTGATAAAGTACATTTCAAAGAACGATTAGTTTAAATATATTTCTGCTTTATGTAATATATTTTTTTCTTCTAAAATTAATTTTTTTTAAAATGGTTCTTACAAATTTATTATTTTATTTTGTCTTTACTGTTACTTTTATTATTTCTTAATAATATTTTGATCATTTTGAGTTAGTGCTTTAAAAAAAAATTGATAACTTAAAAAATTGTTCACATATTATAAGGACAAAAAATAGTATATTATAAAGACTAAAAGAAAATAACAATCAATCCTTATATATTAAATACCAATTGTTATCTTGAGTAATAGTATTTCTAGAAATTTTCATTCAATGAGACGATTTATAAAAAAAATTAATTTCTTATCTAATTTAATATTTATTTATTAAAATTATTTATAAATTAAATATTAAAAATTTAAAATAAATTATCAATAAATAAAAAAAATTGTACTACAATATAAATTATTTATTTTAAATCTAAATATAATTTATATATTTAAAAATATCTATTTATAAAAAAACTTAAATATAATTTATATATTCAAACATAATATTTAATTTTATTATAAATTTTAATTATGTATAATACAAATTAAAATAGTAATAACAAAAATAAAATGGAGAAATTTCACAAAAATCCTATTAAAAAATAATTGTATAAAGACCAAAACTAAAAAAATAATAAATAAATAAAAAACAGTATATCGTTGAATCTAAAAGTATATTTAAGCGTTATGAAATTAAAGTTTAAATGGTGCAAAATAATGATCAATTAAACATAAAAAAGACAAGCATCTATCAATTATTAACAAGTTAAAAAGAATAATTTAAAAATTTACTGCGTTGATTTATGAAAAATAATTAAAAACATGGATTAAATATTAAAGTTGTAACATTTTATTATTATTATTATTTTAAATTGATAATAATTAATTAATTATTTTAAATTGATAATTGATTTTACTTTTGTAAGTAAATTTTATTTATTAAAATATATAATTTTTAATCAAATAATTGCTTTATTTTAATAATCTAGTCTAACCTGACTTATCAATAAAAAGGTCATGTTTAAACTTTAAAAAAATATATTTGTTTAAAAAGGTTAATTTTAGGTTTATCAAAAAAGTTTGATAGGTCAGCATGTTTATCTATGATATAATAAAAATAATATATATATGTATATATATAATTAAAAATATAATTAAATAAATAAATTTTAAATATAAAAATCAAATTATTAATTTTGTTTACACTTTTACTATGCTTAACATTTTACATCCTTTATTTGCACGAAAGCAAGATATCGAAAATAAAAATTCTAATAGTTGTATCTTCACTTACTTTTTTTCATTCTCATAGTTGGTTATTTATAATACTTCAAATGTGACAGAAAATATTTAGAAAGTTTTTTTTAATAAAATTATCTTCTTCACTAGTGTACATAGTTATGCATGAGTTCTCTCTTAATTAGTTTTTAATTTTTTGTATTAAACTCCAAATTTTAATAATATAATAGAGTAAACTATTTTTTTATCAAGCAAATTAAACAAATATTCACATGTGTATTTAAAAATATAATTATTGACTTAATTTAATTTAATTTTTTTTACTTATTTAACGTTCTTAATACAATAGACTTTTAAATAATCTAATTACAAAATAGGCTTTTAAATAGGTTAATAGGTCAAACCAAGATTTTAAAAAGGTCAGGTTAGAATTATAAATTAAAAAAAAATAAACAACAATAATAATATTAATAATAATAATAAATAAAAAAGATATATATGATAAACAAGATTTAATTTTATAGAATAGTGCTTCTCACACTTTTTATTAGGAAAAAATCTCAATTAGTGTCTTATCTTATTTTTTTCTGTCATATAATCTTTTAGTGCTCTAATTGACGCTATTAACACTTGTGTGTATTTAATTTCATGTATTAAACTAATCTTGTGGATATTATTTACAAGTTCCTATGAGAATCCTTGAGAACAAATGTTTTGGGCATATGAATAGAGATTTGTGTATTAATGTTCATGTATATAAATGTTGGCTTATAGATGTGTTTTATTAGTTGAAGCATATTTTTACCAATTGGATGCATTGAATTGAAAATTGTGGATATATATTGGTGAGTTTCTCATTTTTTTGCAAAGTGTGTTCCAAATATGATGTTAGACACCACCTTAAACTCGGCGGGTGTTGTTGTGACCGAGAACAAAGTTTGCTCTATGTGTCATTCATGTCGGGCATGAGTTTGGTTGTGTCAGGCATTGTTCATCCCGAGAGCAACGTGTGCTCTTTGATGCTCTATGTTGGGTGCGGAGTGGTTATTGTTAGGTGTCACCCTTTACATTGTGATTCTTTATTTATATTCTGAAGTATCATTAACAAGTGTAGTTCTTTTACTACTTAATACTACTAACTAGGTCGTGGTATGTTAATTGTTATTAGCATGATTGTGAACCATGTATGAGTTGAATGATATTGCACTAGTATTGGTACATTGATGTGTATAGATCTTGTGAGAGTCGTATAATGGGAATTCTAAGTCAAGGCTTAGCCACAATGTGAACATATGATGATCATGAATGAATGTGCATTTGTGAATGTATATTGTGATAACATAATATGGTATGGAGTCTTGTATGACATGCATCATATGCATAACTATTTTTGGATGAGTATGATATGGAATATATTGTTAAAGGACCCTTGTATAAAAGTTTGGGGATTCATGATCTTAGGGACAACTGAGTTTGGGAACCCCCAATTTCACCCGCTTGTATACATAAGGTGAAACTTGTGTGACACAATTATTTTGACGAGATCCTGGTATATCTCCTCCTAGTGTAAAGTGCAATAAAGGTGTGACTCAACATAGTTTTCTAGGCTACTCTTGCGTGCCTTCGAGCAAGTAAATTTTGTAGTATGTGTTCAATGCATCATATGTGTATGTGTTCATTTTGCATCATGTGTGAAGTGGGGTTGTGTGATGGATCTTGGGCACTTCTATGTTGGAATATGTTATATTACCACTTGTGTTGTACCTTGTTGTTGTGATAAACTGTTAACACTATGTCTTGTTATTGTTATGTTCTTATTGCCTTATTGTTCTTGTTTTGTGTTTGACTATTTAGTTATATTCTACGTCGTGAGATAGAATAATATGTTTCTCACTCCCTATTTCTTGTGTTTATTTTATGTGAATATTGTTGTAGGTGAAGTTCAACACGATGTTGATGATGTTGGAGACAATGTTTAGACCTTGTCTTAGGTTCATACTCTAATAGGATATGACATCGAGACCTTGTTAGGATTTGAGTTCTATTTATGTTCATGTTTAGGACGATTGTTTAATTTCTATTGTTGTTATTTTTGGCAGATTGTCATGTTGGTATTTTGTTTTCAATTAATATGTAATGTGATATCCTCTTGTTAGATTTATGTTTTCTATAGTTATGAATTCCTTTCTGTTCAATTTAAATTATTACACTTAACATGATATGTGGGATATGTGGGCTAGAGAGTACTACACAAGCTAGTAAAAAATATAAATCATCAATTAAATATTAGTAAGTCAATAAAATAAACACAAAAAGGTTATTTATAAAACTTCATGTTTAAGTGTGCAAAATAATATGATAAAATTGAATTATTAATAACTTGTATTTTAATATTTATTCTTATTTATAAGATACAACTCAGAATAATTGTTTATCTCATTATATAAGACTCAATTCATGTTGTTTTATGTATTAATTATTTTAAAACTAAAATATCTCTTATTAAAATGTATTATCTTAATTTAGTAAAATACATTAATTATGAACTCTTTAAAGAGTCTACACTCTAATTGATAAGGAGAAAGATAAATATTAATTAAGAGAGAAAAATACTATATGCTAATTAATTAAAAAAAAATATATGATTGTTATTTAGGAAACAGAAGTAATGCAAGAGTAATTTTAAGAAGAAAAAAAAAAAAAAAACTAATTTTCTTAATCTTAGTAAATTAAATAATTGAATCTTATATATAAGAATGAAGATAATGTATATTACTAAATTTTATAATAAATTATATATACAAAAATAAATATTATATTTGAATATATAAATTTTATATAAAATTTGTATAAATAAGTATTTGTTTTTTTAAACATATTAAATGTATTTTAAATTTAAGATAAACTAGTATTTTTAACGTAAGCAATGCATAGACATGTCTATTATACATAATTAAAATTATAATAAATTATATATATATATATATATATATAAATACTATGTTTAAATATATAAATTATATTTAAAATTAGTATATATAAATATTTTTCAGCATATAAGTTATATTTTATATTTTTGATATATCATTAAAAAACTATTTTTATTTATTAATAATTTATTTTAAAATATTAATATTTAAATCATAAAAAATCATAATAAACAAAAATCAAATTAAATAAAAAGTTAAAAAAATATCTTTAAACCTTTTCGTCGAAGAAATTTTTTTAAAAATATTCTCTTACAAAATAGAGTTTTGTATTTAATATATAGGGTCTGATAATTTATATTATAATAAATGATTATTTTGTATTATCGAGAATATATTTAAAGGATTAAAATCTCATTCTGAAATAAATATGACAAATAAAAAATTCAATAAAAAAAGTTATAAAAATCTCTAAAAACACACCTAAAATTGTTCTCAAACAAAAAAATTATTTACATTTAATATATAAAAATTAATTAAAACAAAATAAAAATTAAAACTTACGGGCTCAGATTATGTAATAAAATATATACTTTGTTCTTATATTTCTTAAAATATAATTGAAGTTCAAAACCTCATACTTATAACGCAATTTATATATTGATTAATTTTAATTTTAAAAACAATGCGTTAGGGGATTTTTCTTTAATGATGGAGAGAATTACAACAAATTTCATAATTAATGAAAATTTTAAGTTTTTTTCCCTTAATCGTGAAGATATATTTTAAATGAATATTTATTTTTTTTTTATTATTTTCAAAATTTGAATGATATTGAGATTTCTTTCTTTCTTCAAAGATCGACTTTAACTTTTATTAAACTATTATTTTTGTCATATCAAATCTTACCTTATACTTTGATCCATTTATTTTTACTTTTTTAAAATTTCCCCGTTTTTAAATCAACCTATTGATAAGAATTCTTTATGTAAAATGATCGAGTATTTCTTTTATAATTTTTTCATATTTTTATTTTGTTTTACACTTTTAATACTCATACAACTTAACCTTGAGAACAGCAAGTGAAAATCATAAAGGAACATTAAATCTTCCTGTGTACTCTACTTGAATCATTAGATAGATATGAATCCTCAATTCAAACTAGAATGGAAATAATGAGTATACAAGAGGTAAACGCTTATATAAGCTAGAAAATCATCTCAATTTCAAAGATCTAAAATCTAGATTTAACAATAAAAAAGGAGAGAACATTGATCTAAATTAGAAGGCAATAATAATGTTTACAACCAGGCAAAAAACAACAAACTATTCAATATGAGAAATAAAAGGTCAAGTCAGTAATACAGAGGAACGGGTTAAATCTAGATATGGTACAAAGTACAAACCTATTTTAGAGCATCTATAATGGAAATGGTCACAACTCAAACCAAATATCTACCTTAATCCGGACAGGAGAATCATGAAGATAAAATCTATCTATTGGATGCCCAAATACCTCTAATTTCTGCACAGGTCAAATATTATTTGCCCAACTAAAATCAGGCATCATCATCACCATCATCGTCTTTATCTGCATCGCCATCATTCTCTGCTTCTTCTTCATCTTCCTCATCAGACATGTTATTAATTACTTCTGTAATTATATCCTTCACCTCTGCTTTTCTATGCATTAAATCCAGACCAAAGTGGGTACCTATCAATATTTCATTAAAAATTAGCTGAGATCAAGATATTCCCACAAATATCTAGGAAGAGAAAATTTTGTCAAGTAAAAGGGCTTACCAAGTTGCCTGAGGATATCGGACAAAGTTGCCTGCATCAAGTATAAAAGAAATTATAAATAAATAAAAAACATGTATATTCCACGGGGGTGTTTGATTATTTTGTCTTTTAGTTTTTAAAAGCCATTTTATAAAATATTTTTCAAAAGGTGATTTTTAGAAAATAAAAGCGAGATGTGAAAGTGCATGAAAAAACATGAGTAATGGAAAAGTGAAAATAAAAAATAAAACAGCTTAAAAGTATTTTAGTTGTTTAGAATTAAAAGAAATAACAGTTTTGAAAACAAGTTTCATAAATTACTCTACCAAACAAGGTTTTTTCATTTTTCGTTATTTAAGAAGTTTATAAAATCAGTAAAACAATCCGACCCTGAAACCCCAAAAATTCAAACTACACATGAATTGCCAGAGAAGCTTTACTTACAGTATTAAAATCTACTTCCTTCAGAATATCAACAACTACAGCATGCATATCCTGCTTTGTAGGTTCTGCCTTGGCCTTCTTATTACTTTTACTTTTCCCTGATGGCATCAGAAAGCAAAGGGTGAACAGGATTAAAACCAAGAGGACACAAGCATACTTAATATGATAATCAAATCTTATAAATTACAAGTTTGTATAACTTGTTTAAATGTAATAACATAATATTAGTGGGGAAATGCCTCAGAGACAGTTTAACAAGATCACTAGAGAAAAATTAGTCAAAAGATTAAAAAATTAACTTTTGAACAACCAACAGACTATATAGCATATGGCACTGAAATAGTAAAGAAGACAAGCATATGTGAAGAGAGAACATAGTCAATTCACCTTGATCCTTAACCAAAGCCTTTGAGGATTTGTCAGATTGTTTTTTGCTTGCAGACTTTCCTCTAGTGCCCTGCTTTTCACTTACAGTTTTCTGTTTCTTGGATGCAGGTTGCTTTGACTTGGATACAGAGGCAGAAGCACTGTCATGTTCAGCAACATTCTTTTTCGATGTTGGTGTTTTTTTAGTTTTTTCAGTGCTCTTGGCATCTTTCACAGAGGCCTTCTTGACAGAAGAGGTTCTATCCCCAGCCTTGCTAACTGAACTCTCTTTAACAATCTTTTTAGAAGTACGCTTGCGACCCTTTGGTTTCGCTTCCTCTTCCTCTGATTTACTTTCCTCATCATCACTTTCACGGTTTGGTGCTGCAACATCTTCATCTTCCTGAGAATCATCTTTTGCATCTGAAAGCTCAGCTTTATCATCCTCGTCATCATCAGAAGACTGCTTTTGCTTTTTAGCCGATTGAGAAGTTTGTTTTTGCTTCTAAAGATAAAATATTCAGAAGTGATTAAAAATAATTACATATTTGAAGCATATCATTTGTTAAATTGTAACTAGCAAATTTGCAACCCAAATCATCCATGGGAAATAAAAGACAAAATTGAATAATGAAATATAAGCAACAAAAACCATAATATGGTTGATGGTTCTATTTGAAGTCAACCAAGAAATTGAATAAATATCCAGATGAAAATCTGAGAAGGCATCTTTGGACTCAGTTGACATTAAACAGAAGCTTAACAGGTAATCAAGGTTTGTTTATCAAAACTCAAAATAGGTGTTAAGAACCGGAAATCAACTCAGCAACAAGCACCAAATGACAATAATTGATGCTTGAGTCACTACATTCCCAATTCTAGCAGTTCAAACTAACAGCAAACACAAAGCTACTGGAATAGGAACTGAAGAAAATCAATTTGAAAAAAAAATTATAACATGTATCCACCATGAACAACAGCTTCATCTTTCAGTTTGAAAATAGATAAAAAAAAAAAAAAACTCCACCTCCCTAACAAAAAGAATAAACTAAACTAAGGTCACTGAACCACAACCCCTGAAGTTCATAATTTAAAGTTCCAACTACTTCAAAAATTAAAAAAGAAAATTAAGTACTTTAAATTAAACTATATTTCATGTGATAGAATCAACCATTAGATTTAATGGAGCACTTGAAATTTTCTGATTGCTGCTCCTTTACAGAGATTTTTAGCCAAGTGCCAACCAAAAAAGTGCAACCCAAGTAACAGGCAACAACGAGCTAGTGGTAGAATAGATATAGAGCATGTTTGGTTACATGTTTAGAAACACTTTTAAAAGCTTCTCTACTAAAAAATACTTTATTTTCAATAGAGAAACTCTTAAAAGCATTTCTAACTTGTATCCAAACAGGCTCCTAGTATCTTTGAGGTTAAATGATATCAACCACTTCATAAACAAATTATCAACATTAAACAAATTTATTTCATGATGACCTCCAGAATCACAAGTAATATATTCAAATGCTGATCATAGGGATAGGATGAGACAATTAACTGCGAAAATGTCAAATTATAGCCATGTTTAAGTCAAACCCTAGAGCTATTGCATATAAATAACTTACAACCACAATTAGAAAATTAAATCATCACTACACATGCCACTTGAAATATGTAAATACATAACAGATATACAGCAAGCCAGAATGATGCAAGTATATAGTAATGAGAAAATACCTTGCCAGGTGGTTCTGTAGATGCTTCCCCAGGGGATTTGCTGAGGGCTGGCTTTCTGGTTCTTTTTTTACCTTTCTGTTAATATAGAAGCAAACTTCAAAAAAAACTAGCCATATTGAAATTAAAATAAATTCTAGAACAAACAATAACATGTTAATACATTTGGGTAGGATCCATTGAGCCTAATACAAGGCATATTTGTACACTTGCTTCATTTAAAGTAATTTTCATTCATCCATCAGTTGGATTGAAATTTTCATCACAACCTCATTAAATATAAGGATAAGAATATGGATTGGATTCCAAGAAGCATTTAATGACTAGTGATTTTCTCATGTGTTTGTAATGCATATATTTTGTTAGAAAACAATCTCAAACTCTTTACCAAAAAAACAAAGAAAACAATCTCAAGCTAAAAAAAAAATAAAGAATGGACAATTTGTTAGAAAGCAGAGAGGTACTTTCAATTTTAACATTCAACCAATGAAATGATATACAACGATGCAAATTACTTATGTTACAACTTACAACATGCAAAAGTGTCTAACTGATTAAAATAATCTATAAAGAATAAACCTGCTCTTTATCAGCAAGTAGAATATCAGTTGTAGCATGGGGGGATTCCAAAAATTCCAAAAGCTTTGCCGACAGCTCCTCCTGAAACCATATCCATTTAATTATTTAATTTCAAAAAGTACTAAACTCTCTTCTCAAATGAAATCAGTATATATTATTATGACAAGACTTGCCTTCTTCACATTGGTCTTGTTTATTTGAATATTAAGAACATCACAGAAGTCCAACAACTTTTCTTTGACAAATTTGTCAATCCTCTCCTTTACCTTGGTTCTCTGTTTGTCCTGCCAAGAATGATAAATTCATGATTTTTCAATAGTAGGTCCATTACAGCCTCAGACACTCGTGTTTTTATGAAACAGCATTTGAAAAGAAACCATTAAGATTCATCCATAGAAAAATGCTAGCAGCACACTCTTGCAAACACTTATGAAGTAAAATTTACCAAAGACCCTTTAAATTTAAATAATACAAGCATCACTCCCTATTTAACAAGTCTAAGATTAATTTCTCCACGTAATAAATAGCATTAACATTCCTCTTCAACTTAATAGTTTAGAATTTAGAACTTCAGACAGGCATACTTCCGTGATTAACACAACAGTACCTCATTCTCAGTCCACACGTAACCAGAAAATTGGCCTATATTTCTCTTTAAATTGTGTGCCTGAAAACAATTCAGGAATAGCAATGGTGTTAAAGAGTTCATGCAACCTTAAGTGACAAAAAAGAACACAAACAATCTAAAAAGCATTACCTTTGTTTTCTTCCCAAACAGTAAAGTATGAAGCATATGCAGGTTGTCATCAGGTTTTCTCTTGGACAATTTAAAAGCCACTGAAACAGTTTATACATAAATAACTTGATTGGGTACCACTGACGTAAAAAAAAAAGATAAAGATGGGTGAACAATCAATTTCAAAATCTGCAAAGATAATATTTTATGGGTATACGATACCAAACCAAGATTGCATGCTAAAAGATATATCAAAATCATGATCCACCTAACAAATATGACACAAATGGGGTGAATTTAATAACAGAAGAAACTTTTTTCCACACATCAAATCAAATATAAAATTCACAAGTTACAAGACAAAGGCCAACCAAATTATAAAAAAAAAAAAAAAAATGTAAGAACTGAGGAAGAAGCAAGAACTAACAAGTAAATCAATAACAAATTTGAAGGCCTCATTGGGGAAATTACTCAGTTTATGCTACAATTAAGACTAGCTTCAGCTATTAAATCAGACAGCACTGAATGCAAAGCAGGCCTCCAAATACCAATAACATGAAAACATTATCTTCATGTTTTCAGGTCAGATCTACCAGAATTCAAAACAAAACAACTTCTAATGCATCTAAGAAACACCATATTAAGGGTGCAAGCATCTAAAACCTAATGGTTATACATATTTAAACAAAAGAACCAGGAACCCAGCAGCCTAATCATTGTAAAAAAAGAAAAAACAACAAACAAACAAATAAACCATGGCATCACTTCAAAACACAATTGCCCGAACTCCAGACCTAATCATAGAAAGCCTCAAACAACATTCACAATTACTTGATCCATAAGTAATTATTAACAAGTAAAACTCAGCACCCTCGTTGAAATCATTCAAGATGAAAGGCTACAACAACAAGAAGAAAACAGCAGAGTAATTGAGAAGAGAAACTAAACGCACCGTTTGGTATATCCTTGAGCTGCGTGCCACGTCCCTGAAAGAAAGAAAAAAAAGCAAACAGATCCAAACGATTCAAAACATGAACACTCCACTCCAGTCCTCACGAACCCAGAAAATAAACAATTAAGTAATTAGATTAAATAAATAATATAAAGTGTACCTTCTCAATTGTGAAACCTTTACTAGCGGAGGATCTCGCAGACTTGGCCGGCGAGGGCACAGAGTAACGCTCCACCGTTTTCCTCTCCCTCGTTGGCCTCTCACTCGCCGGCGTAACTGGATCCTTCTTCTCCGATGCTTTACTCTTCTTCGGAGTCTCCTTGCCGCGTCCCTTTCCCTTAGCCTTCGCTTTCTCTTTCTCTTCCGCTTCGTCCTCCTCCTCTTCCACTTCTTCCTCATCGTCGTTGTCGTCTTTCTCCTCTTCATCGTCGTCTTTCTCCTCTTCGTCGTCCTCGTCGATCTCTTTCTTCTCGCCGGCGTCTTCCTCTTCTACTTCCCGGTTGCTCGCTCCGTCGACATCGTCCTCGGATTTAGCGGCCTCCGCGGAAGGCTCCTTCTCCGGAATCTCGGAGGCCGGTGGCGATTTGGCGTCGTGGAGCGGAGGCTTGGAGTCTTCTAGGGTTTCGGTGGCCATGGATGGGGGAGGGGGGACCAGAGAATTGGGAACCCTAGCGTTGAGAGAAACCCTAGAATTGGAGGGAAAGGGAACAGAATCGTTGTGATTGGGATTAGAAGAGAGAGAGAAATGAAATTGGAGTTTGATGAGAGGGCGCGCTGGAGGGTGAAAGTGTGTGTGTGGGGTGGTTTTCAAAATTTGATGCCAAATTGTGAGCGGGTTTCGCCACTAGCTCACTCACTCACTCGTTCCCCCTTCTTTTTTGCTTTTCTCCTGGCAAAACTACTTACTACTAACCTAAAAAATAAGAAAATGGAAATTAATTAATTAATTATTAATTAATTAATTATTAATTTAGTGAATTGTAACGGAGGGACTGCCTCCCTCCCTCGCCTCACCGGTTGTTAATTGCGAAATAATGATTAATGATTATTATTATTATTACTGAAGTATTGAATCTGTGGGCCACTGTATATGTGAATTGTGATGGAATCTTTTTTTTTTCCAACTCTTTCCATTTATGGGAATATACTTGAAAGGCCTGGCTGGATATCATCAGTAATGCAGGCCTTCAGAGTGTGTAGTTTGGATGAATGGGTCTACGAAGGGGTTACTCTTCACAACTCCCCATTTTACTATTCACACTCTTTTAAAAATCTTAAATTATCTTTTTCCTTTTAACTAGGTTTGAGCAAGGCGAGTCCAAGCATAAGACTGCTCAAGTCGATTTTTTGACCAAAATAAATAAATAAATAAATAAAATTATTAAAATAAATTAATTACTAAAATAAATAATTTCTCACGTAGGATGTATAAGATATCATGGAAAGTGACGATTTTTAAACATTTGAAAAGTGCCCTATATCACGTGAAAAAGTGCAGACACAGCAACATGTTACATAAAAAATCTTCAATAGTGTTGACGACTTCCGTAGCTGAGGAATGCTTCATAAAAAGTCAACTTAAGTGACGTTTTCTTGCTCTATGGTCTGCATGGATTTGACCAAAAACTCAAAGAAATCGTCACCGTCAGGCCGTCGGGGCCGCCGTTCCCCGCTGAGGCAGAGACAAAGATGCTAGCCTCGCTGGCTTCGAAGGCCCCCACGACGATGATGTCCAGGTGGTAGGGAACCACCATGCCCCCATGCTAAGGGAGATCACGTCTACGCCATCAGCCACAGCGGCGTCAAATGCGGCTAGGATGTCGGAGTCATAGCAGCCAGCATTCCATCAGACCTTGTAAATGGCGAGGCGAGCCTTGGGAGCCATCCCGACGGCCATTCCTTTGGCGTAGCCCATGGTGGAGGTCGGGAAGACGTACCTTCTGACATCGATGGAGGCGGTGTGGGTGTCGTGGACGTCGAAGTCTCTAGGGGAGCGATACTCAAGGGTGTTGTTCATTTTGTCGTTGGTGGCTTCGTAGCCGACGTAGAAGTAGCGGGCTCCAATGAGCTTGTGGTTGCATGAGGTGGGAGGGAAGTGTTCTCCAACGACGCACTCGTACCAATGCCTGTGCTACAAGACGTCTAGCATGGTGACGTCTTCTATTTGATGAAATTTTTAAAGAAAACGTTCACCATGGTGACGTTTTCCCTTATACATGCATGTCAAGCACAACACAAAACGCAACATGAACGGAGGTAGTTTGTCTAAAGAAAACGCCACAAGTAATGATGTTTTTTGCATCCTCTCTCTCCTACTTGGCAAAAACAACTTATTTTGGTAATTAGTTTTTTAATTAATTTATTTTAGTAATTTTTTTTAATTTATTTTGGCTGAAAAGCCGACCAAGTCCTGGCTTTAGGCCCCCAAAATATTTTTTTACTTATAGAACTTAATGAATTAGCTGTATCGGTAATAATTTTGATTTGTTAGTCATTGTCTAAGCCTAGCATCATAAGGATTGGATTCGATCTTAGTATATTAATTTTTTGCTGAAAGTTCTTTTTTTTATAGGTGATTGTTGATTTTCGTGTCATTCTCTCGTCTTTAAAAAGGCTCAACTTCAAAACTCGTGTTAGGCTTCAAAATATGTTGGGCCAGCCCCGGGTTTGAGCATCGGATGGTTTTGATTGAATTTGATTTCAAAAACTCCAATTTGTTGCAACATGGGAGTCCTAAAATAATGGTCCATTTTTGTCCAATCTTTGTCTCGGATTAGATGAGTAAGTGGGTGGGTTTGTGTGGGTGAAAATAAAATATAAAAAAATGATGATATTTTTTATTTGTATCTCTATGTGGATGATGTTCTTGAACTACAAGCCATCACCTTTAACAATACCAAGTATCATCAAAACCTGAAAATTACAAACAAAAAAAAAGGGAAAAAGATGGTTATGGAATTGTAAAGTAATAAAGAGGGGGGGAGAGAGAGAGATAAGCGAAGTAGTGTTGGATTGTGAAAAAATGGATTCATCATTAAAACCTCAAAACTAGAAAACAAAGTGAAAAAAAAATGATTGAGGAATCTCAAAGTAATAGAGACGGAGAGAGAGAGAGAGAGAGAGAGAAAACGGTGTTGGATTGTGAAGAATGTTGATCAAGCTCAAGATGAATATATGATCTTAGTTGGTTTTGATGATTACAATAAGTCTCTTGAAAGATAAGAGTGCAACTTGTATGTTATTTTGTGTTTTAAGCCTTTTGATAGAAAAAAAAGTGTAAGTTGTATTTTATTTTGAGTGTTTTAAGCTGTGTTACTTGTGTTTAGTAAATAACTTAACATTTTATCTTTATCTAGATGATGATTGATGACTAAGATAATTGAAAGAATTGGTTTGTAAAAATAAATGGTGTGAAAATTTGATATATTAAGTTTTCACTTAAAATTATTGATTATCTTAAGTAATAATTGATTGTTTGATCTGTTTTTCATTAATTTGAGGATAAGTTGCTATAATAATTGATTATTCAGTAAGATAATCAATTATTTCATAAGTTAGGTTTTGGAATAATTGATTATTGATCAAAATGATTTATTAAACTAATTTTGGTTGATTTCCATATCTGTTAAGAACAAAATAATCAATTACTCATATAAATAATTGATTATTTCGGTCAAAAAACTTATATACATATATATATATATATATATATATCATATTTCACATTTAGAATAAAGAGACTTGAACCTTTGTGATATCTTTTTCAAAAATACTATTTGAGAAACATTTTTCGTTGCAATAAGATGTTCTTTAACCTTTGTGATAACCTCAATAAGGATTTAAAAAAATGAATTGATCATCATGTTCATAGAGTGAAAGGATAAGCTAATTGGTTGATCACCTACTTTTATATGTTATGTACATCAGGTGAATTTGTTCATTAACTTTTGTATAGGATGTTTTTCTTAAGTAGGTTTCTTAAGAAGAGAGAATCTTGTAGTAGGGTCCTATATATAAGTGAATGCTTATTGGGGGTGCAAGAAGTGGTTTCTTTAATAATGTAGAAGTGTATTACATGTGGTGTTGAGATTATTAAACTTATGATTAAAGATTAGTGAAAAATCTCAATTGGGTTGATTGGGATCTAAATATATGTCACAAATGGATGTGACTGAATCAATATAAATTGGTTGTGCATTTTTCTCTCTCCCTATACTTGATTTTACATTTTGACAATTTAGTTTCTATGCTTGGTGTTATGTGTTGTGAGACATAAACATTGCATGTAGAATTGAGTGATTTTAGACTTGCATTAAATATGAACTTAGTATCATATATACAATTATAGGTCAATATACTCATTTGGAAGGATTTAGAAAAGTTTTTCAAAACCAAGAAAGTTGTGCAACAAATTTTTAAGCTACCAATTAACCCCTCCTCTTGGTTAGGCCATCTTGTCTAACAAAGAAATTGAGCAAGAAGACTTCAACAACACTAGGATTAAAATGAAGATTCATTCAATCAAAATAAACTTATATGCTGGTGTTATTAATCATTTGGGTTTAGGTACCGATCGGTACAAAATCTTTAAATCAAACACGGTCATGTATAAATGTTTGTAACTATCTGTTTTCACCCAAAAGTCACTAATCAATTTAGATTTTATCCGAGAACCAATATTTTGTATGTAATTTTATTGAGCTTGAACGAGTGCGAAAGTATTGATCACTTGTACTTTTAACTTACCTGTTTCCTACTCCTCTCACGCTCTCCACGACTCCTCATTCTTGATTTCTTATTGTCTACACCTTTTTTGTTCTTGTTCTTTCACTCTTATTATAATAAACTCTCATATTTCTTTTTCACTTAGCTTCGTCCCAAAAATTTCTCCAAATTTAAAAAAAAACATGTTTTCATTGTAATGGTTATTTCATGATTCAATGAAACATGTTTTTGTTATATATTTAGAATGTGTGTATTATTTTGTAAGTGAAATTAAGTAATTTTTTAATGCTTAATACACCAGTAGGTCCTTAAATTATTTGAGAATTTTTAATTAGGTTTTTAAACTAAAAAAGTTGTAGTTTGATTCTCAATATTTAATTATGTATGCATTTTCTTGTGATGTTGATTAAATGCATATCATTTACAAGTTTAGATGTCGCATAAATGATTTACAAGATGCACAAACAACCTAATAGAGGACCAGTCGAGTGCATTTGAGATAAACGATCGACCATATCTATTTGTAGGCAATGAGATTTGGCAATGTGATAAGAATACCTAATTTCCATGGCAAATAATGCTCATGTGATCTTTTTTATTGAGGCTAAAGTTATTATTGCACTAGATAAAGTCATAGGCTCAATGTTAAGCGTTTTCTTAAAGATGGCAAGCAAACTATTCACATAAGTAGTAAGTAGAAGTATTTGTCGTTCTTCCCAAGGAACTTGTGCAATACAATGGCAATAGATACAAATTTAACTAACAAAGACTAAAGAATGATTCCATATTTGAAGGATTGTATTTTGAAGCTAGTAAATGCAAAGTGAACTAAAGTGGACTTTCATCAAACACTTGGAGTGTAGTTTTAGAAACCAACTTATATGAGTAATATGTTAGGGTTAGACTTTACCAACTTGAATCTCATGCATAAAACACCTTTTTCTTCATTCAAATATTAATGTCAACCCACTAATTTACTCAAATCCCAATGTCCTTGGTTATAAGAGCCTAAGTTTCATTACCAAGCATCAATCCCTTTAATACTTCAACCAATTCACTTGCATTAAGTCCAAAGGTTTAAGACAACAAGCAAATCTTGTTCTATTCCTAGATACAAGTTTTACTAGGTATCACGTTCCAAGACTATTACAAATGATATTTCCTAATATCAAAATAATCACAAATCATGTAATGGTTGATCACTCCACACAAGCATTAAGCATATAAACATGATACTAACATTTGAATGAAAATGACACACACACACACACACACACGTATATATATATATATATATATTAAAACAAGTTACATGAGAGTCAAGTTGGCTACATCTAACCCCAACAAAAGGGTTTTAGCAACTCATTTCCACAAGAAGATTAGCAAAATACATCATATAAGTGAAGATGGAAGAAAACCAATGAGAAGCAATGATGGAAAGGTGAACCCTAGCTCCCCAGCTTTAGACCCACGCTCCCTCTATTCCTCCAAGTGTGTCTGTTCATCATGCTTTGCATTCAACAAGGAAAAATATGAATCCACACAACCCTTTAAGTGACGTTCTCAGCGCACGGTGATACACGCCCAATGCGAGCCAGGAGGCGCACGGGGTGCATGATGAAATATGCTCAGCGCGCGACCAATTTTTCAACATCTCAGCCTGATCTAATGCGTTGAGCGAGCTAGGATATGTATTCAGCGCGAGTCTTTTAAAATTGCCATTTTGCTTCACTAAAGTCCAATCCAACTTATTCTTTTTGACATGGCTTCTTCCAACATGATTACCTATCCAAAATTTCACAAAAAATGGGGATTAAGTATGTATAATCTAGTATGTGTAACCAAAGGGTCTTTACTTACAAAAAATGGTTAAATTGAATATTACACAAGTCTAAAGTTAGGAAAGAGTTGAATTTGTTAATAAATTTGGTACTAAAATGTAAGTAAAAATTAACATTATCACTCAAACATCCAATGTAACATCAAAGATGATGGATGGGGATATACTAAAAGGACCTATTATAAATAAGGTCTTCAAGCCATTTTCTAAGGTCATACCCAACCATCTTGTTGCAAGATTGTAAAAAGGATTGATTAGTGTATGGTTAAAGTTGGTTAGTCATGGCAGTAAGATCATGAACATGCTTACAAATGAGATTGTCTAATGGTATGTTGATGATTCATGATTGATGCCTTTTTTATGCGCATAATTTGTGTGTCTATCAATCATGGTGATACATGTTGGCCTACAACCTTTCGCTCTTTTAGGATTTGACCACATGCAACTAATATGCTTAAGGTGTTGATATATTATGTGTTATTTGTACAAACAACTAGGTAAGACCAACCTGCATCACACCTGACAACTAGGCAACTATTTAACCCCTTTACAAGTACAAATTTAATTATTTTATTTCACATGTATAAGTTTTTAGTTGTACAACAGATATGTTAATGTGATTTGTAAGCATTTGTGTATGACTACTTTCAAATGTCGATCTCAAGGAGGACAATACATATATTCAAGTGTCCCTCATCTTGTAAGAGGGTTTAATCATCTAGCCATTTTGCTAGCATGAAGGCACTTTTGGACTTTTTGCAACTAAGGGACATCATTTATACACCTTTTAAGGATTGCAAAAAGATGTGATTATTCAAGGAGATATTATACTTTTTTGGCTTCTTTTTTTATGCCACCAACATTTGCATTTATCTACTCAAAAAAGTTTAATGCATATTTGGCCATGTTTAGGGGTTTCATTAATCCCTAAAGGAGATTGCAAGACATGTTCCTTTTACTAAGGTGATTAATAACTAGTATAAGCATTAATGACACTCCATCATTGTTATCCCAATTTGAGCACCTGTTATGTCAATAAGTGTTCAATGAGCATGCATCAACGATTAATTACGATAGTTTCATTCCTCTCATTCACATATATTCTACCAATAAAAGACATCCTTTTTAAGGGTCCTCCAAGTATTTTTGTGCAACACTCTATACTAAAAGTAGAATAATAAAAGTGAATTAGTGAATTGAACAATATAAAATATTAAAATAATAAAATTTTGGTCATTTTCCTTTGTCCTCTATTTCTTTCTCTCTCTTTCTCTTTTACATCCTTTCTTCTTTTTCTTATACTCATTATCTATTATCTCTCTCTTTCGTCTCTTTATTATTTATTATATATTTTTTTTCTATCAATATTAATGTACAATTTATTAACATTTATATTTTTAAATTATTAAATATTAAAGATTTAACTAATGTTTATTTTTCAATAAAATTTAATATTGTTTTTTAAAATTTGTAAACATATATTAAAATATAAAAGTTACATATAGTAAAAATTAAATTGCCTTATTTACACTGCAAAATTTGAATTAATTTATCTAATCAAAATAATTAAAAAATAAAGAAAATATAAATCATGACAATTCAAATTTCAAGCATTATAAATTTTAACTTTTTTCATATAAACACAACTTAAGAAATGTTTTTGGGTTATATACAAAATTAGTATTGTCTCCATTCATATATGTAAGATCTAATTAACTAATTCATCAAGATTAAGAAAATTATTAATTTAGTTGATAATAATAAATTTATCTTATTTATATATTTTTCTTCTAAAACTACTCTTATATTACTTTTTTTTTTCCTAATTAATACTTATATATCTTCCAATAATCTAGAATACATGCTTTATACTATTTTGTTTATCCTAATTAATACTAATCTTTCTTATAATCAATTATGATGTATGTTTTTAAATAAACTTATAATTATTGTATTTTATTGAATTAAGTGAACACACTTTAATTAAGTTTATTTTAGTCTAAAAATAATTAATATATGAAATAACATGAATTGAGCCTTAAATAAAGGAATAAATAATTTATTTAAGTTAGGTTTTATAAATAGAAACAAAGGTAATATATAAAATGTACCTTCACTCACCACTACTATTATTATCATTCCTATGTAGTGTCACCGTCACCAACCATTATTGTGTTGCCACATAGGCATGACAATGCTCCCGTGGGTATCCGCCCGAACCCGCCTCGATTTGGATGGAAAAACTCCTGTTTATCAGGTTTATGTTCAAGTTTTTCCCGATTGATAAGGATGTTAATACCCGCCTTGCCCTCGCCCCCGTCCCGTACTCGTCCCCGTCCCGCTTAATAATATAATTAAAAAATTATTTATATATAGAAACCAAAATTAGAAATATTTATATGTAAAAATTTGTATTATTTTACTTTTATTTTAAATTTTGTTCATATTTATTTAAAAAAAAAGAAAAAAAATGTAAGAGCGATGGCGATTTAAATTTACGGAGGCGGGGTGAGGAACGTAAAACCCGCCCCCACCCCGCCTCGTTGTCATGCTCATGCCTATTGCCACATTACTACTATTGTTACCACTGTTTCTACCCACACTAGTACTATTGTTACCACATTTAATATCATTATTATCAACATCATAACTCTATTAAAATAATACGAATTTATGAAGATAATTTATATTAAAAAAGATATTATTATAAAATTTGATATTATTTTATTTATGTTGTTTATTGCTTATCAAATAATATATATAAAAAAATCGTCTTTCAGCTTAAACATTTATTCTACATCATTTTCCTTGTATATTGTAATATGCATCAAACACATCCTAAATATTAAAAATCATGCTAATAAATTTTCAAATATAAAACAATCCTTCCGATTTCAAATTTTTAATTGTGCTAATAGTTCCTAATCGATGAATTTTTAATATTTTAAAAATTATTTATTATTTATATAAATTTATTATTTTAAAAAACATTTAGGAGATAAAAAAGCAAATAAATTGGGCCGTAGCATGGAATCCCTTGAATAAATAAAACGTTTAATTAAGGTTCGAAATTAGGCGTCTAAACCATAAGAAAATCTAATTCAATTCAAACAAGGCCGACACAGGGAGAAGCAAATAGATCAACGTCCACATTTGCGTGAGTTAGAGCCTCCGCCATGGACGATTCAGACTCCGAGCTCGAGCTCTACACCATCCCAAGCTCTTCAAGTAAGCACCATCTCTCCCAACCCTAATTTCGCCGCTTTCCGTTGGGTAACTTGGCATCTAACCGGCGTCGTTTTGGCAGGATGGTTCGCGTGGGACGAAATCCACGAGACGGAGCGAACGGCGTTCAAGGAATTCTTCGACGGGAGCTCGGTGTCGCGAACCCCCAAGATATACAAAGAGTACCGCGACTTCATCATCAACAAGTACCGCGAGGAGCCCTCGCGGAGGCTCACGTTCACCGAGGTGCGCAAGTCGCTGGTGGGTGACGTCACGTTCCTGCGCAAGGCGTTCCTCTTTCTCCAGAATTGGGGTCTGATCAACTACGGCGCGCCTTCCGCTGCGGACGCGGAGGGGGATGTGGAGGACGAGTGCAGGGTTCGGGTCGAGGATGGGGCGCCCACCGGGATTCGCGTGGCGGCCACGCCGAACTCGCTGAAGCCGATGGCGGGGGGGCGCGGCGCCGCCAAGAGTGGGGGGAGTGCGAGTGGGGGTTCGCTCAAGTTGCCGCCGCTGGCTTCGTATTCTGATGTTTATGGCGATTTGATTAGGCAGAAGGAGGTCAAGTGTGGGCTTTGCGGTGATAAATGTGGTTCTGGACATTACCGATGTAGCCAGGTTATTTTATTTCTTAATTTCGTTTGTTTCTATTGTTTGTTTATTGTCACATTGGTTTTAGTGATAGATGGTGCTAGTCCAGTGGTTAGGTTCTATTTCCTCCAAATCCCTCTCCCTTTTCACTTCAATTTAAGAGAAAAATAGCGTTTGATACAACTTAGAAGCTTTTGAGATTTTGACCTTGTTTGATACAATGAAGCGCATTTGAGAGCTTCTCAATCGGAAATAAAGAAATAAAGAGAAGCTCTCAAAAGTGCTTCTAAGCTTGTATCCAATCTTTCTTTACTGGAAAAAGTTCTTTATTTTCAGCAGATAAACTCTTTGGTAGTGTCACGTGAACATTGTCTTTCAATATTCTTTTGCATGATTGATATATGAGAGAAGGAGTGGGTAATGTGGCATTTTGTTTCGTGTAGTGCTTGTATTTGCACTGGGAAGTGGGAAGGAATAGGAAAATGGAAGGGGAGGAAGAGGATTGGAGATTAGGTTTTGTTCCTCTTGGTTGGGAAAAATTATTTCTTGATCCGGGACTACCATGGTCTCCGGACAATGTTCACGTGACGCGTAGTTGAGTTTTAATTAGCTTTGTCTCTTTTGGAGAGATTTATCTCACTTTTATTGTCTCTTGAGCAAATTTTATTATGTCATGTTATTAATCTTTCTATTTGGACTTTTGCTTATATTTCTGAAACTAATATCATTGTTAGTTGTTCTATATTTTTTATATCATGGCAGGATAATTTCATTATTTGTACAAATTGCTTCAAAAGTGGGAATTTCGGGGAGAGAAGGTCTGCAGAGGATTTCGTATTAAGTGAGTCAAGTGAAAATAGTGGCAAACACGACACTGTCTGGACTGAAGGAGAAACTCTTCTCCTTTTAGAATCTGTGTTGAAGCATGGGGATGATTGGGAACTTGTTGCTCAAAGTGTTCAAACCAAGACTAAACTTGATTGTATCTCAAAACTCATTGAGCTTCCCTTTGGGGAGCTCATGTTGGGCTCTGCTCACAGAAATGTTAACAGTAACAGTGTTAATGGCATCATGAACAATGCAAAGCAAGTTCAGTCATCTTCAGCTGACGATCAAGAAACTTCCAAGACAAATGACCAATGTCCTGAGCTACCAAATGAAAATGAGCAGAATGGGGATGCTGTGAAGGAAAGTCCTTCAAAAAGACAGCGTGTTGCTGCCCTTTCAGATTCCAGCAGTTCATTAATGAATCAGGTACAAGATAATATTGAATTTTATATCCTTTGTAATGCTTATAAATTTATAATTTTCAAATCTTGTTGCATTTCTGTTGTTGTTGACTTGCTATGGAGTTTTATCTCAAGTGTAAATATCTAGATTTTGTGAAAGGCTCATGCATGTGGACAGTGTGCAGATTCTTCTTTGGTTGCCACATATCTAGTATTTATTGATTGACCAGGGAAAAGAACATGTGAATATTGATATCATTTGGACCTAATTCATTATGATATCTACATTTTGGCTGGTTGATTCTTTTTCAAATTTTTTTGTTTTTTTTGAAAATAAGGGTGTGTGTGAATCAGTTATTCCTCCTTTGGTATGACCATGTGTTAATGTTTTGAATTAGGTGGGGCTGATCTCTACTGTGGTTGATCCTCATATCACAGCTGCTGCAGCTGATGCTGCTGTTTCAGCACTTTGTGATGAAAATTTGTGTCCAAGGGAGATATTTGATGTTGAAGAGGATGAAGGTTTAGAGACCGAGAGGTCCTCTCTGTCAGGTATTTTCTGTTTTGTGTATGAAGATGATACTCTGATATTCTTTTGACAAACCCTATTACTTTTATGTACATATATATGCATCCACTGGAACTGATATAGTTTCTTAGATACATGTTACAAAAAATCATTGTCTGCTTCAGATGTAAGTCATATAGAAATGATGATGATGGTGATACTTGCCCATTATTTTTCTTCATAACTTCTGCTGTTTTGCACGTTACACTTAATACTTACTATACTAGACTGGATTAATTTGTCAGTTAAGTAAGGTGTAATTAGGTACCCATTGTATTAGGATACCATCTTATGTAGGGAAATTTTTACTCAATGATGAGTTCGTTTACCTTGTTAGATGAAAGTTTGGGCCTGTACCTAATGATGGTGCTATTCTTGAAGGCATCTAATAAAACTTTCTTGGACGTGCATTTTAGTGATTTTGATGAGATTGAGTTCCCAGAAGTTCTTCAATTAGCTGAGCCCAAACCCAAGGTTCTACAAGTATATTGGTATAGGCCTTAGTCACCAAAATCTGGTTAGAAGTACAGAATGAGTTAGTAAGGATGTTGTGATGTTGACAGAATTAGTTAGATGACTGACGGACAGAGAAGGTGAATCTGAGAAGGGATAGAATTATTTACGTGTGATTAAGACGCTATTTTCTGCTTTTCACCAATTGGAGCTTGAGCTATGAGAGATCCTCCATAGCTGGGAGCATTCTGTTATTTTCTCTATCTCTTTCCAGTTTTCTTTAATAAAATTGTCTCCTATTTCCAGATAGGAATCACTTCCTATAAGATTTTTGAGTTACCCATTTTAGGGCAAGGGCTGCTTACTTAAAATGAACTATAAAACTTGAGGATAAAGTGGAAAATGATTGAGAAACAGGGAATAGGTAAAGAACTGCAAGAAAAAAAATAAAATACTGAAGACACAAAAGAGCGGAAAATTAATGAAGAATAAAGAATCTAAAGATTAAGTGTGTTAATTTTCAACTTGACACGTCCTTGTTTTTACTTACCAGTTGCCCTTTACTGTGGGAGTCATTTATGGGTACTGTTTTGTATTTTTCTCGAACAATTTTATCATGAAAATGTTGATAAATTACAGCATTAAGGATTGATTTCTTGCTTTTGACATGATGATTTTGAAGATTTACGTATGGCTCTATCCCCACACCATAACATTTATTTTAATATCTATTACTGGTTCTTTGCCTAAGTCTGAGTTGAGGTTTGCTTCTTACACGAGATAAATGAGAGCTACATTTTCTTTTAATTTTAAAATAATAACAACATGAGTGTATCCTTTTTTTTTTGGGAATCTTTTGTTAAATATATTTGTGGATAAACATTGTTATAAAGTATTGCTGCATGTCACCTATAAATCCGAGCTTGCTCTTGCAGAAATGGATCACAGCTGTCCAAAGGATGGCATACCTTTGACACTGCGTGTTAGAGCTGCCACTGCAACTGCTCTTGGAGCTGCTGCTGCTCGAGCAAAGTTGTTGGCCGACCAGGAATACAGAGAGATCGAACATTTAGTGGCAACTATAATTGACGCACAGGTTCCGAATTTATATGTTCTTTTTTTATATCTTTAACTCTTGGCTCTGCTCTAGCCGAATTTCTCTGGTTCAGGTATCCATTTTAGCGATTAACTATTTTTTCCTTTGTTAACTAGATTGAGAAATTGCTACACAAGGTTAAACATTTTGACGATCTGGAGCTGTTGATGGAGAAGGAACACGCTGAAATGGAAAATCTAAAAGATTCTATCTTGACTGATCGAATTGATGTGTTACGGAGAACATTTAGGTCTGGAATCACTAGATGGAAGGATTATTCGTATGTAAAATCTTAGTTTTCATGCATGTGTATAATTTTGGTACTCCATGCCGAACGATGGAGTTGGACTATTATTTTACATCAGGGCCAACACGAACTGTTAGACTTGCTATTCGCCGTTATTTTACATCAGGGCCAATGAAGTACTGTAAAATTTGTTGTTTATTATCTAAATTTTTTGGGTAGCGCTTACGTGCTTGATACTTATAATTTTGGCTTTTGAACGGGACACTAAATTCGTCTAGCTTGTATTGTAGTGTAATTAAATTGTACAAAATTCAATTTCTTTCATTTATAAATGTTCTTGTATAGATGATTGCATTTCATCATCGAAAGTTCGAAGCGACCAGGTGCTGAGGCGAACCATCGTCTTGTTCCAACTTCTAAATTCTTGTGATTTTCCAAAGATAGATGCACTCTAAGCTGCCATGCCATTCCTAGAAGTTGGGTATTATATTATTGCCACCTTCTCTTTCATTCTGCAGATTATTGCCTACATTAATATCACGTCTTGAAGGCAATTAACAATCTTGAAGTTGGCTACAAAGATATATCATGGATAATATCTGTCAAGAAAACCTAACTGACATCCGTTGTGAGTTTTTTTTATAATCAATTTTTATTTTATTTTATTTATTTACAAGACTTGAATATGAAAGTTCATTTAAGGAATTTGAGTTTAATTTTGCTGAAATTAACTACATAGTGATATATACTATTTAGTTTTAAATGTATAATTTTATTATTTTTATACAATTTACGAGAATTCTATACTTGTTTACAAATTTTGCATATTTAAAGTATTTATTCTATGCATTAGATAAACTAAAATATTAATATTTCTTAATTACAAAATATTTTATAGATTATATTTATCATAGATAGAAAAATATAAAACTATGTTTTACTTATTTATATATTTTTTCACCTTTTATTTTAATATCATTTTTACGAGTATAAGTATATTTTATACTTTTCCCTGCCAATCAAATCTAAAATACCACTATTACAAAAAAAAAAGAAGGTGGTGAAGTATTATATATAAAAAAAATCTAAAATACTAATAATGTATAATATGATTGATGGATGGATAACTTTTTCTTTAAGCATATAATAAAAATTAGTTCTTAAAATAACGATTTCCATTATTGAAAAATTTCTGAAACGTATTGCTTTACTGTGAAGTCAGAGGGTACAAATGCCTCATAAAATCTAGATGTTAAAACCAATAATTTTCGTATTTCTAATTTTCTCCAAAATTGAAAACCAAAATAGGAGATATTATTTTTATAATTAATATTATATTTAATATATGAATTACATTTCATTTAAATTTAGATACTTTTAAACATACAATTTATAATTTACATTTATGATAAATAATTCATATTGTGGCAAAATATTATTTTTAATTATTAATAATTTTTTAAAAAATATTAAAATTTAATTTCAAAATAAATATAATAAATAAAGATTGAAATATATAAAAAGTTGAAAAAAAATTTCTAAAATTATTTTTGTTAAAAAGAATCCTCTAAAAATAATTTAACTTTTTTATTCCCTTAATATAAATGTTCATGTTATATGAAAAAAAAATGGTATAATGATATTTGATGTTGATCATGGAGATAAAGGAGATAACTTGTGGTACTAGAAGATGAGATACCAATGGATCTGGGTTAACATAATCGTTTCAAAAGTATACAATAGTTTTAATGTCATCTTAAAAGTAGATTTCAACTTAATTTAATTTTATAAAATTAGCAAGTGAAATAAGAGTTGTTTCTAATTACATACATTATTATAATTATACTACTAATTAATGTGAGATTGTTCATAAATTTGTGTGTGTGTAAAATCTCCAACGTATAATGTTATATATATTTTAAGCCAGGATGGAACTCAGTTTAGGTGATCCTTTAATTATCTAAGTCGAGTAGTCAACATCATCTTATCTTATTTTTAAATAATATACAATCAGGTTTAATAATTTAACTCAGTTAAAATCATTCAAGTGCAATTAAAAAACACACTCAATAAGAATATAAAGGTTACTCTTTATATATCAGGAAATAAACAAGTGCACTTAAAAAGAAAAATACAAGTCTTACATGAACTGCATATTCATTCAAAAGACTTCATCCATAGAGAGAGTACCTCAGAAACCTTGATTTCTTATTTATAACATGACAAGGAATTATTACTATAAATAATAAAGCAATTAATTATATGAGGATTTGAATTCAACCAAAGCAAAAACAAATCTGTCCTTTTGAGGTAGTTGTGCAAGATGCACTCATAAATTTTGGCCCCAGAATTTCCTTGCATCGAGCAGTGCATTCAGGAAGTGTGCAAGGGTTGAGTGGAATGCCAAATACGCACTCCGCAGGCTGTGGCATCAAGACTAACATAGCCACCACTGTCACCACCAATATCATGGTTAAGTTCTTTGTCAAATTTTTTGCCATGGCTTCTCCTTCAGAAATTTTTACAAGTGTCTCTCTCCTCAAACTGAGTTTGGTCTGTATGGACTGGGATTTGTTCATACATATTTATAGACGCGGAAATAAGCCTAGATATTAATTGTTGTAAGGATTCAATTAAACCAAAAGAGGAAAAAATGTTTCAGTTACAAGCAATTAAATTTGTTTTTAAAAGACATTGATCAAATGGTCAATGGAAGTAACTTTTTCATTTACAGTGTCTTCTTATATTTTAAAAGTTGCTCCAAATTGATTAAAGAAAGAAAGAAGAACTAAATATACAAAGAAAAATCATTTAATCACAAATTAATATATATATATATATTAAAATAAATATTTTAAAAGTCATATTAATGATAATATTTTTTTTATTGATTATGATGGTAAAAACTTTACGCTCACATACCACAGGCATGACCAGAAAACCGCATTATTACAAGAAATGTTATATATACATACAAAAGTGTCGTTATAAATACAATATATGTAAGCATATATCTATTTGACATATAATTATACATAATTTTAATGTTGATTTTGAATAAAATTTAATAATATATTTTGTGTGTCATTATAGTTTATACTCACACTTTTTAACAATATACCAATATTTATTGTGTAGGTAAAAATAGTTTTTAATGACACATATTATGTCATTATATGACAATTTTCTTGTAGTTCAATTTTAAAAAAATATTTATTTATTTTTAATATATTTTTTTTTATATTTGATTGAAAAATATGTATATAAAACTGATTTCGTGTTTTCCTATACACACATTTAAGGGATTAACTCTTGAAAAATATTTTTCTATACACATAATTTTAAATATGATTTTTTTATTCATTAAAGTTATAACGACAACATCAAGATATATTAAAACTTAAGATCATGTACATATTATATTAATTATCACTATGAAATTTGAGAAAAAATAATTTAATATTAATTATTTTAAATGCAACTTTAGTTTTAAAATAATTTAATATTAATTAATCAATAAAACTGTTAATGACGATAGATAAAAAACTCAACAGATGTAAATAAATATATCTTATTTGCGGTTTAAATAATAAACTATATATTAAAACTTAAAGGTAATAAATTCAAACTTTTCAATTACATTTACGCGTGATATTTCAATTCAATGTTTTATGGTTACAAATCATTCAAAACATGAGTTATTAGTTTTAAAATAGTTTAATACTAATTAATCAATAAAAATAATTAATGATGATAGATAAAAAAAATTAAAGTTGTAATTAAATATATCTTATTTGCAGTTTAATTAATAAAAAGTAAATTATATTTCTCTCTCCTTAATAATACAAATATTATCTTTCTGTTAAAAATTACACAACAGATTCTAAGATATGACACCTTATTTTTTTAAAAAAAAAATTTGGTTAAATTTCTAGTACAAAAAAGTTATTATCAAAGCACTCTTTACACTAACATCCTTTTAGAAATGTAAATATTACACTATCCTTGTTTCTTGTGTTTAAATAAAAACTTTTCTCTTTTAATAAATAGAAATATGTTACACTTTAACAATTTATCTCTTTATTTATATATTTAATTATTATTTTAACAATTATTATAAACTTTTCTAAAATTAATTATGTTTTTAAAAGAAATATTTTTCCTCATTATTTTTTACATAATATTTATAAAGTATCAATACACACACATATGTGTATATATATATAGATCAAATGACATTAATGTACGTAACTTTTATCAACTATTGTATTACTCAATAATTTTATATTAGATTTGAATTTTATCGATCCAATTGTTGAATTATAACTTTGTATCACCTTGTTTGTTTATGTCAATTTTTTATTAAAATTGAACAACAATTTAAAAATAATCAAATTGTTCTAATTTTTAAATATACATATTACTTCAATTTCGATATGATATATCAAGTTATCTTGGATTAATATAAAATTTTGTATATATTATATTCAAGTAAGGAACTTTCAAAATAAAGATAAATTTTTAAAAAAATTTATCTCTAATATAAAGTTAATAAATTATATAATAGGTAGATGTTGTCTATTTAGTAAATAATCTCATGTTGAATCTATGTTATATGTGAATCCTCCTCTAGTTAATTAATTACATTTATGTGAGAGGTATTAGTATGGGATGAGGGACAATTCTAACAAAAAAAAAATTCAAAATCTATATTTTAAAAAAATACTCATTGTTACAAAATATAAACTAATATATATATATATATATATATAAAGATAAAGATAGAAATTAAATATTTTAAAAAAAATTCTATATTCATTTATTAAAAACGTATCAGGTTTAAACTTAAGATCTTATGTATTTTATTAAAATCATTTACCATTAAACTAACCTTAGTGGTTTATCTATATTTATATAAAGGTGATAAAGTGTTATTGTGTATATACAATTCTTTTTGACTATTTTTTCTTTAAAATAAAATTTAATCTTTCAATCAATAAAAAGTGATGAAAATTAAAATCAAAGTAGTCCAAATTTTAAGAATTTGAAATTCTTTGAATCTCTAAATTTTTTTATCTAAACACATTATAATAGTGAGTTTAAATGAGAGATTTAAAAATAGTATTTCATTTTTTTTAAAAATTCTGAATACTTTAGGATAAAGTATTTTGTTTGGATGAATAATTTATAAAGAAATTAAAACTTATGTATTTGTGAA